TTTTCGAGACTATTTTGAGATTTTCGGGATCCGCGGCACTAATTCGGAATTTTCGAGACTTCTTCAGGATTTTCGGAATTTTCGGCACTACTTCGGGATTTTTGGGCTATTTCGGTATTCTCGGGACTAATTAGGGGATTTTCGAGTGTGTCTGTGTCAAACTGTGTCTTTGCGCATAACCCACATCGAAATTTAACAATAAAATTCCATGGTTAAAACCGAATTTATTAATAAAATAGAGCTCGGAAATTTGGACCCTTGTTTTAGATTAAGGTTTAATCCTTTGACTACACGTATCTGTTAAAATTTTTAGATTCTGGTGATGCGTTTGGATACAACAACCCAAAATCATTGTTCAAATAACTAAACCGTACCTATGTTTCTCGATAAGGGGTAACAAACATTATTTTTCGTTCATATTTTGCTCATATAAACCAGTGGATAAAAATATACAAATATGCGAAAGGCAAATTTATCTGTTTAAAAGAACGCCACTAATATTTCCCGCAAACATACTTCGATTTACATCTTTTTGCTTAATTTTTATTGAAGTCAAACTTCTTGCAAGAGTTCGGAGATGGTTGCGTTAAATATTTAACACCAAGTCATAAAATCTGTATCGTTAGTTCGATTTTCAAAAATGAAGTGTCACATGAAAGGCCTCCTCCTTCGGGTGTGCAACATAGCTTTAGTTACAAAAAAGGAGTTGCCACATGTTAGAAAATCGAACTCAAAATTTCTCTGCCGCAGAGGCTTGCGTTAAATATTTAACACCGATTTTAAAAGATGAGGTGTCAAATGAGAGGGATTGACCTGTAGATATGTAATATGAGTTTAATTTTTTAAAGGGTTCCCATAAATACGAAAATCAAATCCAAATTATTTATTAAAATAAATAGTCTCTCAATATGGGTATCAAAAGAAATGGTTTCGAATAAAGATGAAGATGAAGATGGAGATGAAAATGAAGATGAAGATCAAGCTGAAGATGATGAAGATGGAGATGAAGATGAAGATGAAGATGAAGATGAAGATGAAGATGAAGATG